TATAATATGATTAAGTTTATGTTATTCTACTTACATATTTATACTTATAATATTATATAAGAAATTATATATTATGTATCAACTATATTATAAAAGAAGTTATAAGTAAAAATATACATTATTAGACTGATTTGTTAATAGAATAATATAATAATATTTTATTATACTTTCTTATGTCATATGTTATTTCACTTCATAAAATTTATGTTCAAAGATTCTACCTACCTGCTTATATACGAATATTTACAATATTCCCCACATTTTAGAGACAAAATAAGGAATAGGGCTGAAGTTTTATGTTCCACAAGGCTGATCCACTAATTACTCTAATATTTCTTAATAGTGGTGCAAGCATTTTTAATCTTTTAAAAATAAATGGAGGAGGTGAAGCCTTTACTCTTGGAGGGAGGATAAGAGTGTACTCTGACTGCTCAGTCACACAGCTGTACTGATAAGCTGAGCAATTAACTACAAGATAGAAAGAATGAAAAAAAGAAAGAGCCCCAAGGAATCAGCCACTCAACTCAGCTCACTAGGATACCTTGAAAACTCACTGCTTTGAGCCACTGAAGAGAATAAAAGTGCTGCAGATACCAGTTCTAATTTAGCCTCTTATTTCCTAGAGGCTGTGAGAATTCCTTTTGACCTCCAAGACAACTCTTGAGGTGAAGGAATAAAGTGATAGTCCTTTCTGTGGACACAGAACACTGTTGCGGACTATTTCTCATCTGCACTACTGAAAAGCAAGATGCACAGTGTGTCTGCCCTGCAGAGGAGGGCTCTAGATAAACATTCCCAGCACGCATATCTGGTAGTAGCAGTACTAATAGATGAAGATGGTTTGCAGCTGTTTATGTCAGTGTGTTCTGTCTGCTCACCAATTATTTCCTCCAAGAGCGGAGGGGTCATATTAGTGATCTGAAAGAATTTTGATTCAGCTGCTGTGGATCTGGGAAGGAATAGTGCAGTTCCCTTGGGCATCTACTTATTGCATCTACTTATTGTACTGACACAAGACCTCTTAATACATACTAAATCTTGGAGACTGTCATCAATTCATTAGAATTACAGCACCACAAAATGCTAGAAGCAAAGCTATAGATTAAAAATTTACATCTAGCATAAACAAGTTAGGAAAGTTTCTTTTGTGTACTCTTTTTTTTTTGTGTATATTGCATAGAAAGTTGGTGAGCTGGGACAATTAATTTTAAATGATTAGTAAAATGATCCCTTTTATGCAGGTGCACTTCACTAAGCAACCAGCCTACTGAAGCCTTTCCTATTAAAGATTTATAGTCAACCTCATTTATTCTGATAAAGCACTGCCTAATGCGGCTGCTTTCTGTATGAGATACCAATACCAAGCAATAGTACAGTGCCATAAAGATCAGTATTACAGATGACAATTATTTTCCATGGGATGATAAAAATAACCTGACCACATACAAAAGTGTATCAGAGCTGCTTCAGAACATGAACAAGAGAATCAAATTAAATTTTGAAATTTGTAAAAATACTCCAAACTACATTCAGCAAATGGTGCTGGGGTAGGTTAACTGTCTGGCTTTATTCATTCAGATGAATGCAGCTGTACCCTAATGAAGAGAATTGCTAAGAAACAGTTAAGAATACTCAGACTTCAATGATGTGGGGAGCAGAATTGGACACTTTAATACTGGAGTATAAACTATGTAAAACGATTAGAGCAAGGTACTTTGTTTCATGGTTTTTCTATGCAGTAAAGAATATCCTAGCCAGTAAGTTACAGTACAGGATGGCACCTTGAAATCATCAATTCAAATGATAAGTTTACTACTAAGCAGTTTATTACTGAAGAGTTGACTGTATGACCATGTTTATACAGTGACTTCAAAAGGCAAAGGATAATCCAAGATAGGCTGTAAAAAACAGGACACAAAAGAGACTGGTTGAATGTCCCAGTGAAACATGATCCACAAACCAAGTGTTTAGATGTCACAGAGAATTGTTTCTGACCAGAGAACTGGAAGAAAAGAATTCCATATTTTGTGCTAAGTGTTGCAAAGGATATGCTTCAAAATGCTGATGATGACAAGCCACTCTGTAATACTAACCACAAAATATTAGAACCTGACCATCTCTGGAAACAATATTTCCCTCCCATAATTACATGGTTTATAAAGACAAATAATTATTGTTGTAGATACGTGTTATTATACATATGTTCGTATGTATGTATCTTATTATACATGCAGGATGATAATTTCATTGAGAAATTTATAAGATTACATTGTTTTCTTCCCATTCTTTTCTCACCTGAAACTTATCAAATCCTCCTCTTGGTAGTTTCCAAGACAAATATACTGTATTTTCTTCCTGCCCAAGCACCTGCAAGTCTGATGGTGGATCAGGACCTGAGGTAAGGTTATGAGAGGATGCGAAATTTAATAGCAAAATATTTTATGAATTGAAGGAAATACTGCTGTAATTCATTACTTTATAGTTCAGCGTAGTTACAGATTTTATGTTGTACTGAAGACAAATATGAAAAACTCAATTTATCTCCATGTATTAGCAACAGAATAAGAAATACAAGCAGTTTTTGTAAATTTTTGTAGAAACATTCCATCATCCTAACAGCATGCTGATTCAATTATCAACATAATTCCATTCACTTCATAGGAAATTTATTTGTAATGAAAAATCTTTATTTGATAACTTTCAAGAATGTTTGACTTGAAAAGAAAGACACATATGCATTAGTCTAATCACTTATTTAATTGATTTAAATAAATTCATGCATTAATTTAATAAAAATTATGTTTTTTAGAGAAAACATTAAAACGTAAAAATGAATTGTGAACCTACAGGTGCTAATCTTGAGAATGGTGGGGTGACTTCTTTTCAGTCCACTGGTTGTCACAATACTAATTAAGAAATCAGTGCCTGGCAAAAGACTGTCAAGTTTGTACATTCTACAAACATCAAAAAAAGAGACTGTTTTCTTTAGAATTTTAAAATACACATATCTTAATACTTCTAACTATTTACAACATTATGGATATTATTTCTTTATATGATATGAGATGTCATTTATTACAAAATAGAATTCTTAAATGTTCTTTTTTCACAAAGGTATAGTAGTGTGTATCAAGTGAAACATCAAATATATATCACATACAAGTAATACTGCAGAATACTTATTATAAATATACCATGAAATATCTGTTCACATTAGTTATTTTTTAAATAGCTGAACATTAAAATATAATCCTCATACCTTACACCAGAAGATAGCATGTTCTCTTTGTTGAAGATCTTGCTTTTTATTGAAAGGACATATCCGTCAAATTTACTTTGGGCTGGTGGCCAGGTAACAGTTATTGATTCAGAGTCTCTGCTATAGTTCAGATACTTAACTGCACTTGGTACTGTGTGACAATAAGAAACAATATTATTTTTAAAATATATCTTCAACACATGATTCTATGACAGGACTTTTTTCAACCAAATCGGATGAAAACTCCAGAAAAATGGTTATGTTCTTTTTTTTTTTTCTTCTCAATGAGAGACAGATAATACCATTGCAGTAAAAAATGTAGGGGCTTTTATTACCCACCAGACCCAAAACAATTGCTCTGTAATGCTATTTAATGTAGTTTTGACATCACTGATGTGTAGTTCCTCAAACACAATTTGTAAGGAAATGTCAACATAAGACCTAACTTGATTGGCTGAGACCAAAATTCCTGCTAGCAAAATATCTTGTTTTCAATGGTGGCTAAAAGCAGATGTCTACAGAAAGAAGGCTTGCATGTAGTGATAACCTTCCAGGTTATCTCCTACTGTGCAGCCCATGGATTTCTTGAGCCAAACCACAATCATAACCCAAAATATCCTGTGGGCAGGAGTTCTGCACCTTATCTACAAATTTAATAAACAACTTTTTCCTTTTGCTTGTTCCCTGCTTGCTCTTTTCTGTTTCATTTCAAGTCCTCAGTTCTTGCAAAGAGAATATCCATGCATTTTTTCTTACTTATTCCATAATTACTTCCCCACCACTTACCCTCTGACAAAAATTTTTCAGACATCTACCACTATGTCAGCTTTAGTCGATGTTTCCTTGAAAGCAAAATATTACATATCTTTGATCATGCTTGCTGCCAACTGTGAACCTTTTTATGACCTATACTTATTCACATTAGGAACCTGTTAGAGGAAATTATATAATTTCAGACACATCAGCCAGAGAGACGTAAGGCTGCTGCTGCTTCATGTCCCCAGGCCAACCAGGCTGAAGATGTATTCCTAGAAAGCAGAGCATTCAAATGACTTATGGCCTCATACTTTTCCCCTGACGCTCCCCCAAACTGATTATCCTAGGAGATACACAGGTGCACTCAAAGCCAGAGCTGGCTCTCAGAGCTGGCTGCTCACCCCCAGGCTTGCTCCCAGGCACTTCACCTATGTCCTGGTTTACTCTGGCCCCCTTGCAGTCAGACATTCACACACACACTCTCACACCACAACTAAAACAGAACTCTGCTTCTGAAAATCCAGTGTCCTAACCTAAAGTAGAACTAAATTTACTGTAAGAAAAAAACCAACTGTATTTACTACTGATATAAGAAGCCAATGAAAGAATATCAGAAAATTAATTTAGTTCTGAACAAGTAAAACCTCAATAAAAACTGAACAAGTTCAAACTCAGCAGCAAAGCAAAAACAGAAGTTTAAGAAAAAGGACTTTGCTTTTTCTAGGGCTGATAACCAGTCTGTAAATACCAGTTGTACACTAGCAGCGCAAAACTGCGTGAATCATTATGATATTAATAACAGGAATTAATTGTTCACCACAACCAAATTCAAGTGCATTTACTTGAAAGAATACAGTTGAAGAATAAAGAAAACAACAGCAAAAGAGAATAAGGAGAAAATAATGAGAATGATTTAATTCATTTTTTCTAGTTTAAACAAAAATAAAGTTCAAGTAAATATAGAAGAAAACAAGGGACATAAGAAGAATAAAACAAGTTACGAATATAGTGACACTGAGGTCTCACCTGTCTCTATTTCCTTTGCAACAAGTACACTATCTCTGAAACCTTCCTTTTCTGATCGAACTGTAAAGCTGTACAGCTTACCAGGAATAAGGTTGGAAAATGTTGCTGTTTCTTGCTTGACTTTCTGGACCTAAAAAGCCAAACGGAGAACTGTTTGCAAAATATGTTTCTGTTACATTAGTGGCACCTCCACCTATTTTAGTGGGATGCATAGCTTCTAATTTAATCTCTGAATGCTTAATATAAAATTTTTACAAAAATAACTGCATTGACTGAACAGTCTTTTCAAAAAGCATACCCTGAAAGCACTTGCACAGTTTGTACATGTGACTTCATATTGCTGAAAATCTCCTTCTGCACGGTCCCAAGCAATCTGTATTGAAGTGTCTGTCACATTGCCTTCTCGTACATTGAGTGGTGCAGCTAAACCTACAGAAAAACATAAAAACTGTTACTGTTCAGTCCAACAATTTTGTGTCTTCTGTGAAGACATCAAAGAGGATCAATACCAAATTCAAGCAAGCAGTGGGCAAAATCTGATTTCAGGCATTTCAGGAAATAGATTTGAGGAAATAGACAGACATTCTAAAGCAGAAAAAAACGGAGAAAGAGCAGAGATAATACAGGCGCTATTTAAAGTAAACTGCTTTCTTGTTTTGCTTGAAATCAGATGGGTCTCAACATGCTGACGCTCTTAGGCAGGAAAATCCTCCAGAATAAAGTTAATCCCTCCAATAGTACTGCCACTGTGCTCAGAGTTGACCTAAATTTTGTCAGAAAGATCAGCAAAACCGGGTAGACTAGACACAGCAAATGCCCTTTAGCCCAAATCAGTGTAGCCTTATATGAGATCACATTACAGAGCATTTTATACTTCTGTATGCATTTCTCTTATTCCAATCCAGCTCTTTCTGCCTGGAACATACCAAAAAGTTATATATTTTCCAAGAAAAAAAAATAGGTTTGTATTTCTTTTCCAAGGTTCTGGAGACCCAACAGGGACAGATCAAAAGTAAGTTTTCTGAAGAACTGTTCTGAGTGATCAAAACACAACTTTTATTAAAACTACATCTTAGGAAAAATCAGCTTTCAAGGTTTTCATTATTTGAAGAATATTTTTTTTCATCCCTCATGCTCTTCTTTTCTTCCTTGCTTGCTTTTACACTATCTCAGTAGTACTTTTTATAACATTTTCACTCTGAGGAGATAGAGTAGAAATGAATGTCAAATAAAAATCATAAAACATGAGAAGAAAAACTTATAGAAGTACATACTCATAAAAAAAGTGAAAATTCAAAACACAGAATTTCAGTAGGTGTTTCAAACAATTGTTTAAGCCCTTATTAAAATTTCTTTTTGAAAGACCTTACTAAAAGGAGTCCCCTTCCCAGACTATTTCCTAATCTCTTTGTTATCTAATTTATTATCTTTAAATTTGGAAACTTCAAGCTATACTTCCTTGTTTAAAGATGCAGTGGGAGGAATAAACTTGCTAATTTTCAAGACAGAGAAGCAATTCCACTGATGCTGATCACCTTGGCTGAAATAAATAATCAAAATATGTCTTGTTTCCCCACAACAGTTTAATACAGCCTAAAGTCCTGAAATACTTGCCAGATATTTTTATAGTCTTGACACAGAAACAGACTTTAGAATGTTTAGTGATGATAAGGGATAGTTATAGTTTTGTTTGAAGAACTACTATTTGCTTACACAAATATAACTGGATGATTTGTAAATAGTATGTATTTCTTATTGCACTGAAATAAAACTAAAGTTAGAGGTTAGAAATGAAAGTTTAACATTATGCAATTTTATGGGAATCAAAAAACTCACATGTTTTTACACCAGTTACACGGTAAGAGGAGCTCAACATTTCTCTGCTTTTTGTGAAGACATGGAAATCATACAGTGTTCCTGGAGTAAGGTTTTCAACTGTTATTTTGCCATCGCTTTTCAAATTGAATGTTCTGTTAGGTCCGTCATTCATTGTAACATATATGCCATCAAATACTCCAGTGTCAGGCATGCGAACAAATAATACCACAGCATTGCTATAAAGCACATAAGGAACTACTATTTGAACAGGCTTGGGCTCTAAAGGAAGAAAGGGGGGGGAAAAAAGCCACATTAGATTAACTGAAAATAATAAAAACCACACAGTAAATCTGAAGCAACTGCCCTGAGACTACTCTTGCATGGTGCAGACAGGTACCATAATTAAACATATAATTGCTCAGAGAGAATAATCACCCTGATCTTTTTAGGTGTTTATTACCAGAATCCTGAAGCACTTGGCAAAGGATTTAGAATCAAAGCAAGTCAGGCTTCTGCAGGTATCAAGCACGATTGCACCAAGAAGGTAGGTAGAGCAACAGAAACAATATACAGATATATATGTGTGAATGTGGAGATAAGCATGGAGAAGGAGGTATGTTTCATGGATTGACATCTTGAGTTTTCTTCCCACGTAGCTGGCTCTTACAGATGGGACAATCCCATCATCTATTTTGTGAATGAGATATTAAAGAGAAATGCTATATAAAATATTAAAAAAAAAAAAAAAATACTGCAACCACTTAAAAAAAATGACAAGGCATCATTTAACATATCTATAATCTGACTTTTACAGTTGCTTTTACGTATCACATATATATCATGAGTGAGTCCTGGCCATTATTTTCACATACACAAAAAAATAAAAAACAAAAACATTATACTGTGCCAAAAGTATTTCAACATGTCACTAAACAAAGACTAACAGAAAAGCATCTTTGATCAAAAATTTACAGCTTTTTTCCTTTCAGCTACTGCTACTTCCAACTCAAAATCTTTTCCCGGCACCCTCTCACCAATAGTAGGGTAATTTCTCTCACATTTCACACGATGCCTCATTCATCTCTACCCAAAATACTGTTTCAATCATTCCTATAATTTCCTATTTCACATCAACAATTTGCTCAATTTCTTCAGTCAGAGGGAATGGGATTCCATACTCTGATCCTCACCACGGTTCAATAATACCAATGTGTTTCCCAAGGCTGCATCTCTCTGAAAGTTAATATCATCAGCTTTGCCTTTAACAGTAAGAATTGAATCAATGTAATTCATATTCTAGTTTTGAGCCCTGGCTATTAAGCATGTGTACTTGACATGATAAATCTGTTAGTAATTTGTTAGTAATGACAAGAGTGATGTTGAGTGTATTATAGTCTGTTTAACTATGTCTTACTTAAAGTGCATTGAACAGTCTTGAGCTCACTCATATTTCCATTATTCACGCTTGCCACTGCTATTTCATAAGTCATTCCAGGAATTAGAAGATCGATCTGAAATTCTTCTGTATTGTTTACTAGAAACTTTTTAGTTTCACCGACGTCTGCACTAGGTTTCACCCGAATGTAGGACTCCTGACCCTCCTGTGACAGTTTCCAGTGAAGGATTACACTCTCTTCTTCCACATCCTCGGGCTGAATAAAAACAGCTGTAGGTGGACTGACAGCTTTATCAAAGAAAAAGAATTTCAGTATAAAACCACAGCTCAAATATACCATCTCTTAAGAAACTCTTCCCAAAAACAGTTTGCTTCATTCTTACTTCAGATATTTCATGATTTTAAATCTTCTACTTATGTATTTATTAAATGGCTTGTAGACAGTTTTTAGACACATGTTACAGGCAGATTCTCCTACTTTTTCTCATAAAAATAGTGCCTGATTTTACATGCATATTCTGTTCCATTGAATATACAGACACAAAAGATGACACAATTTGAGTCACAGGATCAATGATTTGGAAAATTTAATCTGACTTCAGCAACATCATTTGAGACATCACGGAAATGTTTCTACTTTGTTAAAATTACATTAGTATATAAACCATAAATCAGTATACATCAAATATGATGCCACTGCTTCAGTATTATAGCTTAAGTTACCAAGTCAAAAAGAAGATAGGTACTGTCATGGTACATGACAGGTATGTTCACTTTTTTGAAAGGTTCTGAAGATTAAAATTATTAAACAGAAAAAAAACTGAAAAAGAATTGCCCCAATTTTCCCTCAACACATACCAACAAACCTCAACCCGCACATAACTTTAAAAATATATTTATGCATCCCATTTTCAATGTAAACTGTCTAGAGGAAAGAATAAAACCAGCCAACCAAACAGAAAAGTGATACATCACCTGTTGTGATTAATATAGGCTTTTCATGGCAACTTAGAGTTCCTTTCTCTGCTACATTCTGCACATATAGCTGGTACTGATGATAAGGTTTTATATTTCCTATTACTGTTGATGTCTTGTTTTTTTCAACTGGCAACTGTTCCCAGGCATTGGTTTCAGTATCCAAAATGTTAATAAGGTAATTATGAAAATGAGCACAGGAAGAATGCTGTGGAGGCTTCCACTTTAAATGTATTTCTGCAGATGAAACATACGTAGTCTCTAACGTCTGGGAGTGCAATGGCCCTATTGAATAAGATTAGAAATAGAAAATAGGCTAAGAGCTTCTGACGTCTCTTGTAGATTTTTTTCCTCTTAAAAACAAAACAAAACCATACAAAACCTTTTGAGAAAAAAAAAAAAAAAAAAAAAAAAAAAACCTTGAAAAGCTAACAGCATGGACTCAAAAATAGTCTTAAATCTAATCAAAGAAAGAAATTTTGACAGTTTGACTAATATTGATTTGCAGAGGAATACAGTCACTGTCAAATTTAGGTTTTATGAATTAGCCAGCTCTTATGTAAAACTCGGTCTCCTCAGGTATGTCCTTTCTCTCATTATCTCAGACAAACGGTATGAGTTGCCTAAGTTGGTTAAAACCTGGTCCTAATGAGATGAATGGCAAAAATCTACAGAATTTCAGAAATTGTTCAATGCAATTTCTTTTTATCAAGCATTTTAAAACAGTTCATCATGTGTTTCCAACATCTCTTCCAGCAATTCAGTCACTAATCCAACCCTACAATTTGTAATTCTGTATTTCTGCAACAATCACCTTCCTCACCCTGCTGGCCACCCCTCTTCAGATGCAGCTCAAGATAAACTTGAGTACAAAGGCAAAATAAAGATTTTGGAACCTACTCTACAAGCAGGTGAATCCTAGGTTCTGAATTCACATTCAGATTTATTTCTAATTTCAGACTAATTATCAATACAAATAATAACATAACCAAAGGAACAATATGAAAAGTGTATGATTTTGTGGTTGTTGCTATTCATTTTTGTAACTTACTTGTTTCTACCTTCAGAATTGGACTTAAGACAGCCTGTGCCCCTTCAGCGTTCCTCGCGACTAATAAAAACCTATAGCAAAGACCAGGACACAACTGCACAATTTTTGCTTGAGTTGTATTCACAGGCAAGCTCAGACTGTGTGGTTTCAAATGATCAAAATAGTACTTCACTATGAGTGCAAAGCCTGACTTAAGCCAGATATCCATATAACTCCACGTAAATGCAACTTCAGTTGTCTTGACATCAGAAACAGTGAATATGGAGTTTTCTGGTATCAGAGGTACTGAAAACATAAAAATAAAATAAACATAAAAATAAAAAGCCATTAAATATCATGGACACTTTCTTCATATTTGTATTTTTGAAGATGAAGGGGTGGGAGTTTAAAATTAATGCAGAAGATTGGAAGAAATATAGTTACATTCATATTCACAAATATATGGTAGCTGTATAAAGCAGAAAAATCCCATGAAGAAATAGTCTGGACCAGTGGGATCTCTCTGAAGGGCATAGCAGTCTGTTTCATTTGCTGGTAGCATTGACAAAGGTGAGACATTAGCCTTTAGGGAATAATGAGATCCATCTGTCCACAAGAGCCGACCTTCCTCCTATGTTAAAAAAAAAAAGCAGGAAAAACAAACAAACATATGCATGTATTTTTGCGTTTTCTTAAGTCATTAATAAAAGTTTCTAATAGTAAGCATGTCTCCTGAACATTCAAAATTTACGTATTTTATTTCTAAAATTAATTATATGGGATCGTTTTGAATGAAAAATATTCAAGTGCAAAATTCTATCCCTTCTATTATAATAATATTTTAATAAAAGCCAAAAAGAGTTAAAGAGATTGCTCATTACAGACAACCCTTTAAAAATCACTATTAATCAAATAATTTCTCAGAGTTTTCCCAGTACTTTCATTTACCACTGTAGTTCTCCCCAAATCACACAATCCATCACAGTGGTCACAATTAGTCATTTAGGAACGGGAGAGCTGGCACGAAGAACTCTCCTATCACGGATATGGGGATGGGAAACTTTTTATATGAAATACTTTCTTCCAGTCCTTTCTTCCACTGGCCTATCCAGCATCCATACTGAACAGACCTTGCTAAGGCAGGACAAATCAGTATCTCAGAGCTGCATCAAAACAAAGACAACCCTACCTTTGGCATCCTATTATGCAATGGACAATGCATAAGACAATTTTTTTTTATTTTATTTTTTTATGGTAAAACAGCACCATCTACAGGCAAAAGGACATTCTTATGAGGTACTCACACACACACGCACACACACACACACAAAAAAAGGTTATGAATAAATTAGTCTTTATTTTTCCCCTGCAATGCCATGCTAAATGATTTCAGTATTTCTAAATATTAGAAATAATGATTCCTCTCCAACTGCCAATATACTAATACCAATACTAATGCTATTTCTATGAAAACTCTTCAAACAAATAGTCAGTTTAGAGCAAAGTATTTTTTATTTTAATGAATTGGGTTCAACACATTACAAATCTCCTTTCTTCATATATGTAATAGCAAAAAAGATAAAACAGACTGACCTTCAAGTCATTAAGACCTGTCCATAACATGACTACGTGGCTAACTGTCTGGAGATAAGAAAAAATAAAACCACGTTCTTCTTCACTCCCTATGTTAAGAAGATGAGCCTCCTGTGAAGAATTCTCACATGTTTCTTGTGCCACCTTCCATGGCTTGCTCTCCTTACCCATTCTATAGCAGCTACTTTGGAATGCCAGCCACCCTTTGGAGCAGGTGCCTGTAGGTAAACAAGCACAGTATCTTAAACACATTCAGTATCATGTATGGTAATGTTACAGTTTCAGATTTTTTAAAAATCCACATATAGTCAGAAGATGATAGCATTTAATTAACCACAAAAGAAAATCTTTAATAATGAGACATCCTCACTCAAAATCTTGAGTGTCTTAAGAATTTTGATTGATTAAATTAGAAGATGATCAGCTTTAATCCACTATAGCAAAAAAAAAGAAAACCAATATTGTTTATGCTAATCGCATTCAGAGGAGGGCCACAAAATTGATCCAAGGGAGGGAATACCACCCCTATGAGGACAGTCTGAGAGAGCTGGGGCTGTTTACTCTGAAGAGAAGGCTCTGGGGAGACCTGATAGAGGCCTTTCAGTAAAAGGGGAGGCTGTAAGAAAGAAGGAAACAGACTCTTTAGCACAGTCTAACCCTAAAGTCCAATTTCATCTAATCTAGAATCATACCAACCACCACATTTGGTATAACAGAATCATTTCCAAGCACTGTGGTTGAAAAATGGACTCTTCAGCAGTGTCTGTTGTGACAGGACAAGGGAAAATAGTTTCAAAATAGAAGAGAGGAGATTCAGGCTGGATATAAGGAAGAAGCTTCTTAAAATAAGGGTAGTGACACACTGGAACAGTTTGCCCAGAGGTGGTGGTCACCCCATCCCTGGAGACATTCAAGGTCAGGCTGGATGGGGCTTCGAGCTCCTGATATAGCTGTAGGTGTCCCTGTTCATTGCAGGGCAGTTGCTCTAGATGACCTTTAAGAGTTCCTTCCAACTCAAAAGGTTCTATGATATTTTTCATAGAAACATAAAATCAGTCTTCATTAGTTTCTGGTTTGCTTTTTAACTTTTAAAATTTGAAGTTAACAAATCATTAGGAAATTTCCAGAGTTTAGGTAAGTGATCATTTCCCTGAATTTGAAACTATGTCATCCTCTCTTTTGTGTTCCTAATTTTAAATAAGTAGCCTGATCAAAGCATTACCACTTTGAAAGGAGCAAGGTAACACTAAAAAGCATCCTCAAAAATATTACTCCTTCAAAGCATTTCTTACAAAGCACAGATAAGTTTGCCACTCAACAGTGCAATATCACTGCTGTGTGTGTTTAAAGACAAATTTCATCTAATCAAGAATCACAGAATTACCAAGGTTGGAAAAGACCTCTTTGATCACCTAGTCCAATCATTCACCTACGACCAACACTGCCCACTAAACTGTGTCTCCACATACAGCATCTACCCTTTCCTTAAACACCTCCAGGGACAGTGACTCTACTCCTTCCATGGGCAACCTCTTCCAATGTCTAACCACTTTTTCCAAGAAAAAATTCTTCCTAATATCCATTCTGAACCTTGCCTCATGCAACTTGAGGCTACTGCCTCTGGTCCTATTGGACAGGAATCCACCTGAGTCTATTTTAAACTGCAAAACATATAATGAGTTTAAAATATTCACACATACAAATTCAAATTCTTGCTCCTGGAAAAAAAAAAAAAAAAAAAAAAAAAAAAGAACATCTGTGATATTAGCATTCAGTTTCATTTTTTCCAGAAATGAAACAATATACACCTAATAGAAAATTGCATAATGCTATACAGACTCTTTGCAATTTACTCTTAATTCTTCTTAAAAGCAGGCAGCACTTCCTCACATTGATTGTGACTACAGCAAAGTAATAACTACCTGTTTCAGCTTGAACTTCCAATGACTGAGACACATTAATAAATTCAAGATGTAATTGGTCCAATATAAGCTCAAATGTATATAAGGTGCCAGGTGTCAAATCATTCCAGGCAAAGAATCCGCTATTTTTTTGTATAATCCGAGAAGTATCATTCAGTGAAACTGAAATTGCAAATTCTTTGGTCACTGCACTCAAATTAAAAGATACAGTAGTGGCCGTCACAAGTATTTTGATGTCATTTTCTGAAATTCCACCTAGTAGTCCAAAAAAAAGAAAAGATCTTTACCACAGCAGAATTATTGACTCAAATCTTTACTGCATCACTATCATGTCTGTGTAATATGTCTTAAGCAATCACAAATAAAAGTTAAGAGCACAGACTGAGGCTTAAGTACAAAAGCAAACACTTTACTAGAATATTAATTAATAGATGTTGATCAAGAACATTAGCACAAGCAGTTTCCTTTATACTGCTGACTGTCATCATAGTCAGTGGGTGCTGCAGTGTTTTCAACTTGTAACAATTTTTTCCCAATTTTCTGAACACGAGCTAGTACAAATCTCTAATGTGTAATAAGGTAATCCTATTAAACTACTTTAAAGAAATTAATAGAATTAAGATTAGAAAGTCCTTTCAATTCTAGTTTTCACCAAGATCTGTGATCAGAAACAGATCTACAGATATAAATGATGTCCTTAAGTTCAGTTGCTAGACACACAAATTCTTATATTAAACATTTGCCCCAGTCATTCACTATAGCAAGACCTTTAAGCTGCTCAACAACACTTTTTAGAGGGAAAAAAATTGAAACAAAATTATTAAATATTCAATTAGTATATTTTATTTCTGTAAGTAAGACAAGCAATAGAAACCTTGAGCTGGCACAAAATTGCCAGGCTATAAGTAACTTACCTGATGGCTGTCTTTTATAAATTTTTCCCAGAATTACTTCAATGTGACAATGCTTGTAACATTTAGAAATCTCCCAAATATCTACATCAGTCCCCTATTACAGAACTGTTACACTAACCAAACAAGTTATAGTAAAATTATTTCCTCTACTCTTCTTATTTGAAAACATACCTCAATGCAAATTTTCTAAATACTTGAATACTCTCAGGATTTCCATTTGTTTCTCTCTAATCTTTTTCTAAACCAGTCTCACTATAATAATACAAAAATATTTAGTGCTACACTACTTACGTGTCTTAAATGACTTTACACTTAGAATTTGTCCATTTTTTAGGGATTCTATTGTAACGTCATAATGCTTATTTTCCTCCAGCAGAACTGTAGTACTGATAGGCTTTTGCTCAACTTCAGAAATGTTTTTTATATTCTGCAATTTAAAAGAATGTTGAAATACAGTGAAAGTAAGAAAATACAATTCATAAATGTTCTCTAACGTCTTCAGATGTTCATCTAACACTGCAGTATGTGCAACTTAAGGTCAGTTAACTGCAAAATACTCAATGCATGTATAGCAAAATCTGTTTTGATTATTCCAGCTATTAACACCTTCATATTAAAATCCCCATATCTTCTTTAAGTTCCAGGACATCCTGTGCTCAAAAAAAGAACAATGTCCTGTAAAAAGGATCTGGTGGTAGTGTTTGTATCTCCCCCAGAAGAAACTGGGCTCCAGCTTCCAACCAAAGAACTTTGAAGAACTAACATATTCTAACTTGAGAACATACGTCTATCTATTCTGATTCAATACCATTGGCTTCAAATGGACTCTGTAAGGCACGAATTACAGAATTTGGCATAATTTTTGAAAAGTTTCTCTTTATTTGCTTTTTTACATTAATCTTAAAAAAAAAAAAAAAAAATGCAGCTAGTAAAAAAAATGCAGCACAATTTAAATATCCCTGCAACTACTTCATGTTTAGATGAAATTTACTTTTTGATTGAAAGCGTCTGTGAGCTGGTAGGTTACAATATAATATTCTGCATGTTGTCCTTTGGGAAATTCCATCCACTCCAACAAAACTGCTCTAGAAGGCTTTCTCATTTGGTCACAGACTAGGCATTCTGAGCCCTGTAACAGAAACAGACATGAACACAACTTAACAACTTAGCAGGAAAAATATGTTTAGTTACTTAAGTAAAATCTCTCTTAGGTAAACTTGTCAGTTAGATTAGTTTTTATATGGAGCGATATTATCAGCCCTATTGTGTGACACACAGACTTTTCTTAATTTTTATGAGTTTGAGGTGCAATTTTAATCTCTCTTCAGAGGTGGCCAAACCATGTCAGCTGAGACCTAAGCATGCCCTACTAGAAATAAAGATCTTCACAGGTTGTTCTGTAAGTCATGCCTTCTATTTATTTCCATGAAAACTACAACAGCTACAAAGAGCACAACACTATTTGATAGAATTTTTTTGTAGCTGACAATTTGCCCTTTTTCAGCACAGTCACTGCCATTAGCTATGCGTTTTTGTCAGTGTCAGAATTCAGTGACATACCTTTGCTTCATCTACACTTCCACGTCAGACACCACTGTGTCAGACTGCTCCTCTGCTGCCATCTGTTACATAGCAACAAAATATAGTCACAGTCAACAGTCACTCAAGAGTGGGAGGCCTCAGCTCTGCCTGTTCCCATGGTCCACAGCTGATAACTTAGGTTAGGGGCATCCCTCTCACAAACTGCTGTATATCGTAGAATAAGAAAAAGCAACATAAAAGGGATAACGAAATTATTCATTTTACATCTCCTTACCTATCCAGTTTAGACACAGCAATACAAACTTTTGAACTGAATTTCTAAAATTAAGGAAATCTGGGCATGTGATGTCAATCCCTATCACATAACAATACAAGCTTTCTGTGTTTTAAGTTCCATTTTTATTTTCTTTATGAATTAAGATGACAAATAAATGCCATAAATGCCATCATTAAAAAAAAAAAAAAAAAAAAAAAAAAAAAAAAAACCACAAACAATATACACCCTTCCCTTCCCCTTCCTACATTGAAAAAAAAAAAAAAAGCAGGAATTGAATCAGTATACCACTAAAATACAAGGCAATGCAGTCTGAAGGGTAGGTCATTTTGCTTTTAAAGATATATATAAAAAAAACAACCGTATAATTGCCAATAAGTGATTTGGCCAATTTAATAGTTTCCCACTATTTCTCAGAAATAGTTTATGTTATTTTTATTACACATACATACTGTACTGCTGGGCCTACAACTAACGATTGAAATTGTGAGTGTACTTTGCATATTTAATGTTTCCATGTATCTGATGTGGGAGCTTAAGAATTTTCCTTTTTCTTAACCATTCCTTATGAGTACATTTTAAGCTCCTATCCAAAGAAATTTTAGAAAAGATTTTAAATGAGCCACAAAGAACTAATGTATGTTTAGGCAAGCTGCATGCTAACTAAAAAGGTGCCTTTCTAAGCAAATATTTATTGATTTCCGTAGACTACTACTTTACAAATGACAAATGTAAACTTTTCAGTCTGAAAGGTGACAAGGGGAAACAACGGAGGTCTTATGTCGTAAGATCATAAAATCTTATGTAGCCATAAGTGAGCAGAGATTGCTCTTCCCTTGTCTCTCTCAGCACAAGAACTATGAAGGAAAAAAACACAGCTGGTATGGTCCAGGCTCACCCAAGCAAAAAGCAATGAACAGGAAAACTGATCTGTGGAACTCCTTGCCAAAATTTACAACAAGCACTGAAAACTTCAGAGGAGGCTGGACTAGCTGATGGAAGAGAGTTACACTAAATGCACTAAAACTACATCCATCTTAAGCTGCAAATAGTGGGAAACTAACATGCTATATACTCATGCTCTACGCAGCTCTTACAGTCATCCCCAAGGACCTGCTTTTCACCACTGCTGGAGGTTTGATACTGAACTAGCTGAAGTTTTGACAGTACTCTCAACAGCACATATCCCTACTTGCTGCAGATCACTGACTGCAATGTCAAGCAGTCCCCAAAACCACTTCTTCTTAAGCTCAAACCTGGACAGCACAACTGGACATCATCTGCATGTGCTGAAGGAATACATTTGGAGACTGCTCACCCCAAACACACAGCTCTCTTCCCTACAGGAGTAGGGAGTATTTGTACATGGGACTGACAGGACGTTGTCATCATCCTTGTCACAAAACACAGTAAGAAAATTCAAGACTGCATATGCAAAATCAAAATACAGATAAATATGGACCAAATTACTGCAAAGTGTAATGGAAAATTAAGAGGTAAGAGAGCAATGTGGTTCTTATGTACGTAGTTTTATACTTTGTAAGTTTGTATACTTCCTAAAGCAGTATGCAGAGCATATCCCTGTGTACCAGAATGAACACAGCGTGTTCCTCCTCAGACCAGAGGGTTACCAAGCAATAGGAGCAAGTTAAGGAGTTAAAGACACTGACAGCTGTTCCTTCTGCTGAGGAACAGCACTAACCAGAAGCAGCAGGCAGCAGAGCAGATGAAGGCTTTCAAGAGAGAAACAACTGAATGATTTAGAGAGAAGAGAGAAGGCTGGGAATGTTTAGCAGTGATAAACAAGAGCTCCCCACAACTGTCAGAGTAGCAAGAAATCAGTTCAAATCACAAACCATGAAATTGTAACATTCAAACTATCTACCTTCCAAGAAGGGAGTTTTTTTCTTACCTGTAATAAGTATTTTAATAAAAGCAGGAGAAGAATTGCTTGACCCATAAAGAAATGTTGTATTCCCAATGCCTGTGTTCAAATTACAACAGCTTTGAAACAAACTTGTGCTCAGGCACTTAAGATGAAACTAACACCCACTCATGCCTGACATGGGTGCAGCTGCAGCCAATGGCCTGCCCTTGGCTTGGCTCTGCTCTCCCGCCCTGACCCCCCGCCTGACACAGAGCTTTCAGCATCCACAGAGGGATGTTGCTCTCTACTGTCTCAGTGGAAGCTGAAGGTGCATGTTATATGCCAATAAAAAACCCTCAGAGGCAAAAATGTCTGGCTGTTCTTTTTTTTCCCTTTTTTTCTTTTTTTTTTTTTTTAACTACCAATTCAAGGATTAAAATCCATCAATACCCTTACGTGCTCTTAAACTACTTTCCATAGTACATATTTCTAGCAAGCTGTGCCTTGATCAATGTTCAAAATTAGGCTGTAAGCGTCAAAACTGTTTTCAAAGAAGTGCCAGGCAGCTCTGCAGAACTTTCTGTCAACATGCTTCTAGAGTATCCTAGAAGAAATGATATAAACATTATGAATTTGTGACAATTTCTGTTAAAAATTGGTCATCAAAAGACAGGTGTGAAATGGTAAGATTTCACAGGGACCTGCATGAGCAGGTGTGGAACATGTAAACCCCTACTTCTCAAAACACATCTCCTCCCTCACACAAACCCAACCTGTTTGCTGGAGGACTCCTTCAACATCCAGTCAGTCATGCATCAGAGAGCTATCTCTGAAATGTCACCAAGTCATGAGCATTTGTGGCAAAAAAAAAACAAAACACCAGCTTCCAGATTCCTTCAGGCCCCCCCACGCCCAGCTGGGGCATTGCAGTGGCTCGCACCTGACACTGGCCACTTGCCTCCCGCTCTCCGCTGAGCGGCTCTGCTGCCCAGATTCCACCAGTCTGAAGGGAAGCAATGGCGCCCATCCTGGTGATCTGGGCAAGGCCGCACCTGGGAAAGCCCAACACCACATGGAACTTGCCAAAAGTCAGGATTGTGTGAATGCTAAAGGGTTTCTCAATATTGGAAGAGTATCATGCACTGCCAGCGGGTGTTTCTCAGCTCTCCCTCCATGCTGCAGCAGTACGTTTGAGGCTTCATAAATAAATATGTGCGAGGTGCAATACTTGCTCCCAGGGTTCTGGCTGTGGTTTTCTTGGAGAAAATACTTCCCAACGAAACATTACAGAGTTTCAGAGTATGTCTGTGGAAAGTATTAGTAACGAATACAATCAAAGCAATTTAGCTTAATTAATGCATTTAATCTTTTCAATTGGCTAGACTAACAGAAAATTTTAACTTCTATATTGTGTGAAAAGGGATGCAATGGGACCAGTTAGGAATAAAGGTGGTCTCAGAATCCATGCATTTCTGCTCAGTTCAACACTGGCTTCCTACATCATCCTGTCTGTGAAACACAGAGGTTAGCGCCAGAAGAGAAATAGACATTATTTATTTCCCAAAATCTTCAAGAACAGACAAAAACTCAAACAAAAGCCTTTGACCAAATTTAAAGTAATGAGTCACAGAATCATAGAGTCATAAAGTCATAGAATGGCCAGGTTGGAAGGGACCTCAAGGATCATGAAGCTCCAACCCCCCTGCCACATGCAGGGCCACCAACCTCCACATTCAATACTAGACCAGGCTGCCCAAGGCTCCATCCAATCTGGCCTTGAACACCTCCAGGGATGGGGCATCCACAGCATCTCTGGGCAGCCAGTTCCAGTGCCTCACCACTCTCTTGGTAAAGAACTTCCCCCTGGTATCCAACCTAAATCTTCCCTCCTTTAGTTTAAATCCATTTCCCCTTATCCTGTCATTATCTACCGTTGTAAAGGATTGACTCCCCTCTTGTTTGTAGGCAGAATCTGGAGGTAAACTTCTCTCAGTGCCCCAATCATTCTGAAATCAATCTTTTTAAAAGAAAGAGCTGTCTACTGTGCTCTTCGAAATTGAATCAGTATAATATGATGAGAAATATCATTTATGCATTATTTCCAAACAAAATAGTCACACAATACATTAAAAATAGCATAATTGTGTGCATATAGCATAAAAATGAGCAACATTCATCCTATTATTTACTGTACATTTTTAGCTAGTATCATGACATAATACACTGTTTTGAAATAGGACCTTGTTCTTCAGTTGGCTGCTCCTCTTTTTTCCTTAAAGCTGTGTGCAGCTGAAATTTGCATTGGGAAAAAAAGGAACACATTGTTTAATTGGAGTTTTGTTTAGAACTTTATTTAAAATTAGTAAAGAAACAGGTGGAAACTCACCAAAAATGCTGTTTCTGAGCTTTTGTGTTTCCCAAGTTCAAAGATGAACAGAGTAAATCAGAAGCTGCTGCTAGGAAATCTGTCTCAAAACACTGAGTCTTTCTGAGACAGACATACACAAAACACACATGGGTGGAACACCTGAACACTGCTAGGCAAAAATTGGTCATAATGAATGAGTTGGTCATAAGAGAATTGAAATATAAAATCCAGCCATTACAAATAATGTGGCCAAAGCCTAACTATTTAGTAGAAGTATATTTACTTAAATCACAAATCTCTAAAAAAGTATGCATAGTTTTATGGGCAAGCCTTTAAGCAGTGGAATTATAGTCAGAAGCTCATGTAGAAGAGAACTGTAACAACTGAATGAAGAACTATAACAACTGAATGAAAGTAGCACAACTACCCTTCTGGCAGTTACAAAGGGTTGAAATGACATGGCACACTGGGACAGCAGGAAGTGTGGGAGTCAGAGAAAGGTATGCATTCCCAGCCTTGCTTTTAGGGGAGTAGAAATTATTCAAGTCTTAGTTTAAGAAGGGGTGGAAGGGAGGGAACTCCGTGGATATTAAAGCTCTTTTAGTCAATAATAAACAATTTAATTAATTGTGGTCTGAAACTAGATTATGTTTGAGTTGTATCAGCTGTTAAAACTGGCTCACAAGATGCCCACACAAAGCAGGTCGTGCAAAATTCATGTGTGGGAGACTGAGGTAGGAATGCAGAGTTGGAGACAAGAGAAACTTTGATACAACCATGAAGTTGAGTCTACATTTATATTCAAGCTACAGACTGAGAAGATATCTGCAGGCACATTCCAACTTGATGTCTGTTTCAAAGGCTGCAAGGGTTAATTCATGTT